AGACTACCAGCTAATGTGCGCGATGCAAACACACTTCCAGTGTTCATCTCCTCAGTCACCAGACTGCTCAAAGATGACAATGCACTCCTACGTCTGACTCTTACACCTTCTTTTTCACCCTACATAGATATTTTAAGTTCTTTAAACGTGTAGTTACAACAAACTACAATTATAAATTTTAATATTATTGGAACTAGATGATAAACATTTCTACACAGGACAGTAATATTAGTTCACACATAATATAAAAGTTAGCATAACGGGACTAGTTAGTTAATGAACAAAAATAAGCATAGTTACTAAACAGAATATATATGTATATATTTATTAATCACTCCTTAAGGACTCCCGTTGCTTTCTTTTGCGTTGCTGTTGTTTGTCTTCTTTTCTCTCTCACCATTTCAGCTTCCATTTGACTTTTTGAATGAGAATGAATAATGTGGATATTTGACCATTTACAATGACAAATGATCTGCAAACATTATTGGTCCCGTATCTTTCAGTTGCCTGGTTAATAACGAATTAACTTTCTCCACGACGCAACCTGGATTACATTTGTGGAATATACTCTTATACCAATGGAAAAGTATCAATTTGTAATACAACGTCACGATTGTAGCTTATAACATAACTGATCGTATCTGTAAAATAGCTTCCTTATTACCCAATTTGGATATAAATCAAATCAAAAATAAGATTCGGATTTGTACACACCCAAGTTATATTGAGGAATTACTTCAAGCTTTATTTTTTCCCAAGTATTTTTAATCCATCCAAAACTTACTTGGGTTTTTTTGTTAATGCGAAGACAATATTCCTATATTTCATGACGTGCTCCATTGAATGACTGGTTATCATATTGTTCCCACAAACCAAAGACAAAAACGCCAGCAACCATGTAACTTAACCATAAACCGAATTTATGAAATTTAAATAATGCTTACCCATGCCTGTATATTTGGTGTGTCCTACACAAGTAGGAAAAAAGGTGTATTTTATTAAAACATTATTATTAATTATGATTGCTAATCGTATATGTAATTTATCATATTGATGATGCCCGTAAACTGGCGTCTCTCATGTACAAAATGAGGATATACTATTATTATTATTTGATGTGTTGATTTAACTTTTGTTTGTGTTAGATAATTGTGTAAGTTCCAATTGATGTAATTGTTGGTTAATCTTGTCTGTGTCCGGACATTCCACAACTTACAATCGTCAACGTGAGAAGGGCTGTAGGCGTACTGGTGTAAGTCCTGCGATTCTTCAAACGAATTCCATCGAGACACGATCTGCGAGTTTGTTTGTACTGTTTGTATATATGTGTGGTGTGTCATATCAATTGGTGTTTTTTGGATCCAGTGTGTTTACTTGTTGTTTTCGTATCTTGTTGTTATTGCGTAATTTCGTTAAAATTTTCGTCGTGATTACTTCTGAAGTTGTTTCGAGTCTTCTACATCTATGAATGAATTGATTGATGTTAGGATAGCAGATGGGGCGTATACGCCGGGGAGGCTATTGCTGAGAATGAAATGCATACGGAGATAATTGTTAGCTGTGGTCCCACACGCCGGGGAGAAAGAGTGTAAACGACTGAGGCTCGCATGCGTCACCGTTACTAGAACTGAGGCAGAATGAGTGACAAGCGATTTCAGTGGTAATTGGTAGTGAGTAGATAAGAGGATGAGCGTAGAGTATCGTGAGGTACTGCCATGGTCACGTTGCATTCTGCAAGAGTCATTCTAGCAAGTGGCGATTGTGTTGCAAGATGTCAAGAGGACACCTTTAACTGGAAGGCGCGGGTCGTCAGCGATGTGTGAGATTGTGCTGTGGGTATGCTTGTGGTGTGTTGGCTTTTCTGTTTGTTTTCCATTTCAGCTGTGTCCGTGTGACCCAGGTTCTCTCAATGGCATCCAAGTCAACGTGTATCGGTCGTGATGGAAACAAAAGGGATGGATCCGTATTTTGCCAGGGAGTGTCAATGTAGTTGAAGATTGAACGATCAATTCATGGTTGTTTGCTCAAAACCAACTTCCCCAATTTTCGCGGAGGCATCAATACGACAGTCATCGTCTCATCGGTCGCTGTTCAGAAAGAAGTCAGCAATAAACCGTCAGAAGTAATATTGTGATTCATTATTGTAATATTTGTTCACAGACCTTAGTTCAATATTATTTTTATATGTTGGTGTAACAATAAAGAATCCACGAGTCACCAATTGCTCTTTTGGTTTTTCGTCCGTTATAACTAAGCGTTTCTGAAAACTTCAAGGAACAGCGTGGGCCCGAGTGTAGCAAGAGCCGGGCATTAACGGTTTATGAAACGTGACTGACAACTCCTCTTGCTTTCTTTTGCTTTGCTGTTGTTTGTCTTCTTTTAACCAAACAGAATGTCGGGCTGTTAACTGGTTACATTCCTCCTTCTCAGATAGAATGCAGTACACCGTATATAAATGGAAGTCTTCCACTTCATTGCTTACTGAAGCTGGTGTCCCTCAAGGCGCTGTCCTTTCTCCTTTTCTTTTTTCTTTCTTCTTGCATGACTTGCCTCACTCTGATGAAATAAACTTTGTGAAGTACGCTGATGATTTAACGGTTTCAATGTCTGTTAACTCCCAGGTAGATTGTACTAAAATAAATAGCTTTTTATCGGGAGTCAGTAAATGGTCTGAGTCTAACGGCCTTAAACTGAATCCTTCTAAGTGTCAAACTGTTGATTTCAGCTTAAGATGTAAACGACAGTTATAAGAAGTCATCGATTCTCATGACAGTTGTAAAATTGACGACAATGATGAAGGAATAATAATAATAATTTTATTTTCATAAAAAAATATAAATTTACATGAAAATGTGTGCCATTTTCACAGGCACGATCAAGTATGAAGTAATGACAAATCTTAAATTGTCTACAAGTTAATAATGTTTCAACAGTTAAATATTTGATATATATATATATATAATTACACTCATTGTCTGAACCAGGCCGTATAGTTATTCAATTGTACAGTTGCCCTCCAGGTTGAGCGGGAAAATCGACTTCGTTTCGTTTTCGTCCCGCGGTCGTAGGCATACGATAACCAACCAATATTGAGGTAAGTACAAGGTTTACAAGGGATTGGAAGCTGTTTTAGAAAAGTCAAAGTGCTAACGTGAATCATTAAAGCGTAATAAATTAAGCAAATGCAATATATCATCAATAAATACATTTATATAGGAAACAGAATGGGGAAGTAATTAATCCTTAGGCCAACAACGTTCATTTGCAATGTATAATGATACCAATATTCTTCGTACTATCATGATGTCCACTTTTGGCTTTAATACAATTATTTTCAAGCCAGTTGTTTTTATTTCATGCCTGTTTTATTTCAAATCAGAAATTAAGTATCTTGGACTCATTCTCTCTTCTGATCTCTCCTGGTCTTCCCATGTCTTAGCAATCTCCAGTAAAATATTCCGCCTGACATTTTACATTAAGAAGTTAAGACACTCGGGTATAACTCAACCCCTACTCTTGCAGTTCATAAACTCTTGCATCCTACATATTCTTCTTCACTGTTCACCCTTATTCTTTCCTGGTTTGCTTAAAAAGGACTATGTCACAATTCGTAGAATACTGAAGACTATCAGTGGGGTGAGTGGTGTCCCAGTGGACCGCACAGTTAACGTCGTTGTCGATAGCCGCCTGACTTCATGCAATAAATTTGCTAAAGGGATTTTTTCTGACTTGGTGTATCCGCTTTATCCTCAACTTTCACCTTGCATCTCCTCAGGTAGAACAAGGAGTAACTTCAGAAAACTGTATGCTCGCACGTCTAAGTATAAAAATTCTATGATACCATACTTGGCGCGTATTTTATGTGATGAAAATAATGTCAGGCAAGAACTAACTAACCTTTTTTCATCTAGTAAATAAACAATTTCCTCCATCCCTCCTTATATACCTTCGTGTTTTACTTTTATTACTTCTATTATATTCATGGTCCTGTTACCTCTCCGTTTTACTCTCATAATTGCAAGCACCAACTTATCTTCATGACGGCAGTAATCTTTGTTTTTCCCCTCACCATATCATGTAAAGAGAACGTTATATTCAACATTTTTAAACATGCTAGGATTTCTATACCACAATGCCAATACTGTGTGACACAAGCCAACGGCAATTTTCACTTGTATTCTTATTATGATTACCCTGGCTGTTATCATTATTATTGCCATTTCCATTTGATATGCTGCATATTTCTGACACTACCTCTATTGGAAATGTGGAAAGTTTTCTGTGCGATTAATTTTATTTATAATTTGAGGATATTAGATGGAATATTGTGATCAATGCTGAAAATTCCATTCTGTATCACAAATACTGATTTTGGAATAAAGCAAATCATTATTATTATTCTTCTTTCTCTCACAATTTCAGCTTACATTGGACTTTTTGAATGAGAATGAATAATGCAAATGTTTGACCATTTACAATGATAAATGATCTAATCATAAAAATAATATATATATCCTCATTTTCTACATGAGGGACGCCAGTTTACAGGCATCATCAATTCGATAATTTACACATAATATTAATAAGCATATTTAGTAAAGATAATATAATAAAGTACATTTTTTCCCCTAGCTATGTAGGGTACACCAATTGTATAGGCATGCATAAATATTGTTTTAGTAATAATAATATATTCCTTCCTGTTTATAATGGAACATACCTATTGTACAGGCATGGATAAGTTATTATATAAATTACACATAATTTGATGTATAATGGACTTACAGTTTGGTTGTTCTTTCTGACATTAGAGTCAGTCGGAACAGTCTGCTATAATGTCTGTTTGTGTAGCACATAAAGAGATATAGAGATATTGTCTTCGCATTAACAAAAAACCCAGACATCACATGAATGTAATACAGATATCTGGAAAAAATAAAGCTTGAAGTCAATTCTCCTATATAACTTTGGTGTGAACAACACCCTTGGCTTAAAGATTATTGATGTATTATGTTGAGATCAGTGATATATTTATTCCATTTTTCAGCTGTCTTATCGTAGTTTTATAACAGGAAAGAAATCTGATCGTTGATGCGAAGACTAGATAAAGTCATGTGAGGTTGTTTTACTGCATCAAATGGTGCTGAGGTCGATTCCAGAATTTTCCATTTGCGCCATTTGTGTCTGCATGGCGGACTGCATTCGTAAGTTGAGAAAGATGTTGAAAAACCGTTTGAAAACCAGTTGCTTCTTCATTTCAGATCATGAATACTCATTTACAGCATGTTCACCAGCGTGTTCAAATGGTAGAATTGGATCGTTCATGGAATTTGAGTGATTTTGGGATAAATGGTTTGGAATTAATCATAGCAGTTAGAATACAGTTAAACATGCAGAGAAGTACTTTTGATTCAGCAACCGGTGAATTTTTTATTTTTTTCGATAACTGTGAACCATTCCATTCAATATGTCGAATAAGGCATGCAGGGGCAGATCATTACCGTCGAATAAATCAACTTGATCTGAGATGCAGCTTTCAGCATGTTTTCGTTATATCATAGACATCCAGGTTTATTGGTGTTGTATAGCCAGCGATTTGGATTATGACGTATTCTACAGAGTCTCCGTGCCCATTTGAAGTACACACATGCTTTGAAAGGATTACTTTGTTGGCTCCTACCCCCACTGAATGTTAACAACAGCTGCTGTGGGTTTACGCATTTCCTCGCCGTTTTGGATAGAACATCGCCGCATTCTTTTTGGGTAGGAGACCAGTTGGTGGATGATAAATGATATCCAAGTAACTTTTATCTTTTCATGTGGTGTTGCGGTAAGTTTCTACCTTGTTTTCTCATATTTCATTCGTATGTTGGTTATGGTTCGCCCTTTGTATCAGGTAGACATAGTTTGATCGACTCTTGGTTGAATGGGTGTTATTGTCATGACTGCTGCTTTTTTGTCTGGAATTATAAATAGAGACAAAACAAACAACAGGTGTAGTCTCTGAGTTCATACATTAAATGGGCCTATGATTTCTGAAACTCTTACATGGGAATTACCATTGGTATCAATTACAAGCTCACTTAGTGTGTCATTAAGTGCCTTTTCAAAGGAGGTCAGTGTGTTTGCTAGTCGCGTTTTCTCATGTAGTTTGTTCCATATTTCGGCATACTTAATCAAGAAAAACTTTTGCCTGGTGGCTGTTTTACATGGTTCCATAGCCACTGTACCTTTAGTGTGTCTAAGGTTGTATCCTGTGTTACCTGAGGACCGAGTATAGTTAGCAGGGGTATACACTATTTGGTTAAGGAGCTTATAGAAGAGTAACAGATTTAGTCGCAGTCGCCCTAACCATAATGTTTCTAGTCCCAGGATTTCACATCTGGCAGAGTAGTTTGTGCCGTTATCGGTTCCGAGTACTTTTCGCGTGAAGTACCTCTGTCATCTGCATACAGTATTGGCTTGCCTATACTAAAACATTCACATATACTGTTTATGTATATAATGAAAAGAAGGGGTCTCAGTACACTCCCCTGGATGACACCACTGCTGATTGGTCTTGGTCTGGAGGTCATTGAGCCAACTTTAGTTGTCTGATTCCTGTCATACAGAAATGATTTTATCCAATTGTAGAGGGGGTTGCGTATCCCTAGTGAGCATAGCCTACCGACTAGCAGACTATGTGGGACTCTGTCGAAGGCTTTCCTTATATCGAAATAGAGGATAATCACTAGCTCTCTCCTATCTCTTCTATAGGTGACTTCGTTGAAAAAGTCTATATGGCAAGTGACGCAAGATCTTTTCTTGAGGAATCCGTGTTGTGACAGGTTGATGAGTTTATGTTTTAGAAAGTAGTCTGACATTTGGTCTTTGATTACTTTCTCCATGATCCTTGGTATGACAGGTGTTACATTGATAGGCCTATAATTACATGCACTAGTTTTGGCCCCTCCTTTATGCTTAGGTAATATATATGTGTTTTTCCAAGTTTCAGGGTAGGTTCCAGTCACTAGTGAGATATTAAATATTCTAAGTAATAATACAATCATATCCGTACCACCGTTTTTGTATATGACGGATGGTATATCGTCTATCCCACAACTACTGTTAGCTTTTAATGTCCTTACTGCCGATGCTATATTTTGTATATTAAAGTTTATTTCACCTAACTTGTAGTTATTTTTGCAGGTTATGTCGAGAATTGGGGACGGATGGGCTTTGGTGTTATTGGAGAACCACTCACTCAGGAGTTCACTAATGATCTGGGGATCATAAATTATACCTTCGTGTTATGAACGACTGATATTGTTTTCTTCAACCTTCTTCAGCCGTTTTTGCAAGATTTTGCAGAGTTCCTGGGTTTTAGAGGTGACCTCTAGGGCTTTATTTTCCTCGACTTGTGCTTTCATTTTATGTCTCTCATCTAAATTTTTAAATTTTCCGTGTATCTGATGTAATGCATTAAATTCTTTGTATACGTGAAATTTGTTTTTTAGTTTCCTTAGTTTTATTCGCGTTTTGCGGTCTATGAATAGAGTTGGTGTCTTTAGGGCAGATTTCAGGGGCGCGATTGTGTCTCTCACCGAACTGATTGTCTTGTAGGAGGTATTTAGTATTACTTCTAAGTTATTATTGGTGAAGTATTCACCCCAATCAGAGCTTTTCAAGAGCCTTGGTAGGAATTCCCAATCGGCATTTCGATAGTCCCTATATTGATAGTAAACCGGGGAACTCTTAGGTGTGTGTTTAGTTGTTAGTTGTAAGGGTAGGGTGCAGTACAGTATGTTGTGGACACTGTTGTCGAGTTTATCCCTCACCTCTATCGAGATCGGCTCTATTTTGTGACAGAGGATTAAGTCGAGTATATTGTTGTGTCGTGTTGGGAGGCGTACGCACTGCTTCCATCCTCCTACATCTATGGCTTCTAGGATCACCTCGTAGGTTCTCGGTCCAGTGCAGGTATCCCAGTTCACTCCAGAGAGGTTGAAATCGCCACAAACTAGTTTGTAGTCGAATTCCAGCTTAGGTACAACCTCTAGTATTTCTCCGATAACCGTATCAGTCGTTATAGGGCTGTTAGGGGCTCTGTATATACATCCCACCAGAATGCTATTTTCATTCGTGTGGATGCTTATCCACTTGGATTCTGGGAGTTTGTCGATAGTTAGGTTTGTAAAGGTATTGGAGTTAGTGGATTTAGAGGCATATATTAGACAGCCGCCTCCTCTCTTGTCCACTCTGTCATTCCTGTGGATGTTATAGTTATCAATTATCAGCTTTGTGTCAGGTATATCAGTAGTAAGCCACGTTTCAGTTACCAGAATCAGTGTTGGCCGCTCCATGTATACCAAGCTGCGAAGGGAAGTTATTTTGTTAAGGAGAGATCGAGCATTTAAAAGCATAATTTTCAGAAAACCAGGGTTGTTGGGATAGTTAGTAGGTTTTTTTGTTACTATCCCTAACTCCTGGTTGCCTATGTTATGTTCGGAGGGATCCTATTCCCTGGACAAATTGTGCTGCGAGGGGCGCTATTGTTTGCTGCAACCGAAAATAATCCTGTTGCATATAATTGTTTCTGACCTCATTACGTGGGTATCTAGGATCACTTCTCTGCATAAAATAGTCTGTTTCACTGTTCACACTGTAATTTACAGGGCCATAGTGTGGTATAATTGTGGTATAATGTGGTAATTGTGGTATAATCGTGTTTGTATCTATGGTGTTCTTAGCTACTTTTCGTGGGTTGGGGGTTTTGTCCGGGACTATTTTAAGGTTTTTGAATTTTGCAGTGGAAGCCAAAATATCCTCAGATTTCCTGAATTGTTCGGCCATAATACAGCTGTCAAACCTGAAAAGTATGGGACATGTGCGGTTTGTTTCTTTTTTATTTAGTCTAATACACTGACAGGGTGTACTTATAAGGTTGGCAGCTCTTAACAAGGAGTGCTGAACCGGTTTTATGGGCTCTTTGTCAGGTATGTTGTACACTATGGCGTTCTGTTTAGAAGCACGTCTCTTAAAAACTTCGGATTCAGATGATAAGGATAGAAGGCTCTTGTGGCCTGTGTTAATCCTTGCAAAGTATATCTCTGCAGAGATCTAACTTCTCTTTGAAAGCGTTCACCGATGGAGCTGATACTACTGAATCAGGTAAGGAGTTCCAATCGTTGACCACTCTGTGAGAGAATCTAAATTCTGCACGTATTTTAATCGTCCTTGGTTTGAGCACCTTTTTGCGGTGACCCCGTAAATGTATCCTAGGAGGGGAGAAAAGGTTAGAAAGGTCAGTTCCTAAATCACCCTTAAGTATACGGTATGCTAAAATTAAGTCGCCTCTCTTCCTTCGGTATGATAACAAGAAGAGATTTAAATGCTCCATCCTCTTATCATAAGGAAGGTGTGAGATACCGCTAACTAATTTTGTTCCTACTCTCTGTACTCTTTCCAGAATATGTGCCTCCTTTTTGAAGCATGGACTCGTCGCTTGTATGCAGTATTCTAGATGAGGCCTGACATATGTTGTGTAGAGTATTTGGAACATGCCCTCGTCTAATCGTCTGAAAGCCCTTCGGAGTGCCCATAGCATTCGAAATGCTTTAGCTGTGGCTGCATTGCAATTTGAAGTTGTTTTCAAATCATTGCTGACAATGATTCCTAGGTCCTTCTGTTCGTTAACATCAGGTAGTTCTGCGTCCCCTAGGGAGTACGACGCATAAGACTTCTGACCTAAGTGCATTACCGCGCTTTTCCCGGCGTTCATTTCCAAACTCCATAGGCTTGACCACTCAGCTAATTTATTTAAATCAGTTTGTAGGGCCGACCTATCCTCGTTATTGTTTACAGTTTTCCATATAATAATAATAATAATATATATTCTCATTTTTTACATGAGGGACGCCAGTTTACAGGCATCATCAAATGTCATCATCTTAATGTCATCTGCAAATAATGATAAAGATGAAGAAAGAATCCCTGGCAATTCGTTAACGTATAATAGGAATAGCAATGGACCTAATACAGTTCCCGGGGGCACTCCACAGGAAACTGCTATCCATCCTGATAGTACACTGTTAACTCTAACCTTCTGCCTTCTATCCATTAAGTAATCTCTAAACCACTCACATAGGCACTGGTCTAGTCCGAAACCTTTCAGTTTACTGAGGGGACCTAAGTGGGATACTTTGTCGAACGCTTTGCTAAGATCAATAAAAACCACGTTCAACAGATGGTTCCTATCTATGACCTCAACCCAGTCTTCCCTAGCCAAAAGTAGGTTTTCAAGTATTGGTTTTGTAGGGATTTTGTTTGATTGCATGGAGGATTTATTCATGAGCTGACATCAGTTAGAGAACCACTGGAAAACCTGGGGGTACTGGACAGCTGTTTCATCCTAGTTTGGGACTCTTCAGCAGTACGCACCCACCGGGATTCGTACCCAGGACCTTCTGGTTACAAGGCGAGCTCGTAGACCATTGAGCCACTGGGACCCGATCCAATGGTCCTTGAATTCTAACTTCTGCGAATTCACGACATAGCGCGACCACTTCGCAATGTCTTCTTCGATGAGTTACTGCCTCATCTTCAACCTGCTGTACCCTACTGGTCACGGCTTCCCTCTAGAACCCCAGGTTAACTGCCTGAATAGGGCCAGTCACTAGTGAGCACAGATTAATGTTCAAGTATTGGTTTTGTAGGGATTTCGTTTGATTGCATGGAGGATTTAATCATGAGCTGACTGGCTCTATTCAGGCAGTTAACCTGGGATCCTAGAGGGAAGCCGTGACCAGTAGGGTACAGCAGGTTGAAGTTGAGGCAGTAACTCATCGAAGAAGACGTTGCGAAGTTGTCGCGCTATGTCGTGAATTCGCAGAAGTTAGAATTCAAGGACCATTGGATCGGGTCCCAGTGGCTCAATAGTCTACGAGCTCGCCTTGTAGCCAGAAGGTCCTGGGTACGAATCCCGGTGGGTGCGTACTGCTGAAGAGTCCCAAACTAGGACGAAACAGCTGTCCAGTACCCCCAGGTTTTCCAGTGGTTCTCTAACTGATGTCAGCTAATGATTAAATCCTCCAAAATTAGGTTTCTCAAGCAGGATCGTCCTGGTCGGAATCCATGTTGTTCCACAGCCAACAAGCCATGTGTTTCAACATAAGCTAATAGTTGATCCTTTATGATAGTTTCCAATACCTCTGCAATAATGCATGTCAGACTTACTGGCCTGTAGTTAGATACCAATTGCCTATCCCCGTCCTTGAAGATAGGGCTTATAATGGCATCCTTCCAGTCCCTGGGTAGCTTAGCCTGCGTCAGAGACATTTGGAAAATCTCCGTTAGTGGAATATATATTATATCCGCCAAGGAAATTAACAGCTTAGGGTGAAGTCCACCCGGCCCAGGTGATTTACCTGGCTTCAGTTTAGACAGTAGTTTGAGAACCTTTGTGTGCTCTACCACAATTGAGGGCATCTGAGTGGCGATGGCAGTGACCTCGCCATATCCCTGGGTGGTACTATCAGACGAGAAGACGTCACAGAAGTATTCAGAGAGGTTTTCAGCCTTTCCTTCGTCTGACTCAGCCGCTTCTCCACTAATGGTTATGAGTGACGGTATACCACTGTTAGTTTTAGTCCTACGTTTAATACACGAGTAAAGCCTTTTTGGGTAATGAAGGCAATCTAGTACTAATCGTCTCTCGTACTCTATACGGCTCTTGTTAATCGCATACTTACAAAGGTTTCGAGTTTTTCGGTAGTCTTTCTGGAAGTTTTCCCTTCCTGTCATAACAAATTGATCCCATAAGTTCTTTCGCCGTCTCAATAACCTCCTTATTTCACTAGTGATCCAAGGTGGTTCATGTGACAGCTTTCGAGGAGTGTACCAAGGTATAAAAGGTGAAGTGACACGATCTAGTGTATTCCTAAATCCTACCCAAGCTTCCTCGACAGTCCGACTTGTATCAACTGACCAGTCAACCGCAGTTGCTGCGTTCCGGATTCCTTGTATATCCGCTTTCCAAATGTTTGGACGAGCAGATTTTGGCCTGTGCATGAGAGAATGAATCCTAAACGTAAAAGCGATGACTATGTGGTCACTGCTGCCAAGCGGCGGAAGGCACCTAATGCTACCAACGTCCTCCTTCTGGTGTGTCAATACCAAGTCTAGAGTAGATGGATCGTGTTCAGGGTGATACCGTGTTGGTGCATGCATATGTTGCACGAGTGCACATTCAAGCACTGTCAATATGAGCTCCCTATTGAAACAGGTATACAAACTAGTGGAGTTTAATTCCCCCCAATTAGTATGTGGAGCGTTAAAGTCGCCAACAATCAGACACCTATTTCTACTACCCCACTCCCTCAAGTGATTTAGAACGAAGTCATCAGCTTGGCTAGCAGGACTTATGTAAATAACTCCGATCGTTAAAGTGCCTTTGTTTAAGTTAATGATGCAACTTGCGGCTTCACTGGTGCCGCTGTCATGAGCTTCTGACAACGTTGACCTGATCCCTATGTCATCCCGGATGTATAGAGCAACCCCCCACCTTTCCGACTGCTTACTCTGTCTGCTCGTATGCAGATATACCTAGGTATGAGTGGAGTTAGGTCTACACCCACTAACAACCATGTCTCAGTGATAGCAATCACATCAAGTTGTAGTCTTTCAGATAACTCTCCTAATTCGGCGAGCTTATTCCTAAGACTACATGCGTTCGTATAGCTCACCGAAACACCCACGTGTTCACGCGGCTTATGAAGAGAGGCCTCGGCAGCATCGGTTTCCAAGACCTCACCACCCGAAAACCCAGCAGCTTCAGGTCCTTTTAGCCTTTCTCGAGAATTGAATCGCCCTGACGCAAGAAGGCGGAAATCAGAAGACCACTAGGTTTGCGATGATACTTCTATTTTCCAAACACAAGGAGAATGCAAAAGTGGTATCACACCAAAGTGTCACACAAGATTGTGAGAGCGAAATATATATGAATGTCCAGACAAATGTGTGAACAAATCAATAGACAGTCTTAACATGAATGGCTAATTATAATGGAGTATCGATCCGTATATACATAGCAAAATATAGCAGACATGTCAACAACCACACATATAATATGGGTATATGTCACCAAGCAACGGACTGTCAACAAACACTCATATTATATATAATATAAGGAGAATATACATTGTTAAAGGAGACAGGTTCATCAAAATGAAATGGTCACAGACTAAGCGAGCAAACAGAAAGAGAGACCACTATACACACATACATATATATATAATAATAATAATAATAATAGTATATTCTCATTTTGTACATGAGAGACGCCAGTTTACAGGCATCATCAATATGATAAATTACATATACGATTAGCAATCATAATTAATAATAATGTTTTAATAAAATACACATTTTTTCCTACTTGTGTAGGACACACCAAATATACAGGCATGGATAAGCATTATATAAATTTCATAAATTTGGTTTATGGTTAAGTTACATGATTGCTGGCGTTTTTGTCTTAGGTCTGTGGGAACAATATATAACCAGTCATTCAATGGAGCACATCATGAAATATAGGAATATTAACTTCGCATTAACAAAAAAACCCAAGTATGTTTTGGATGGATTAAAAATACTTGGGAAAAAATAAAGCTTGAAGTTATTCCACAATATAACAAGTCATTCAATGGAGCACATCATGAAATATAGGAATATTGTCTTCGCATTAACAAAAAAACCCAAGTAAGTTTTGGATGGATTAAAAATACTTGGGAAAAAATAAAGCTTGAAGTAATTCCTCAATATAACTTGGGTGTGTACAAATCCGAATCTTATTTTTGATTTGATTTATATCCAAATTGGGTAATAAGGAAGCTATTTTACAGATACGATCAGTTATGTTATAAGCTACAATCGTGACGTTGTATTACAAATTGATACTTTTCCATTGGTATAAGAGTATATTCCACAAGTGTAATCCAGGTTGCGTCGTGGGGAAAGTTAATTCGTTATTAACTAGGCAACTGAAAGATATGGGACCAATAATGTTTGCAGATCATTTGTCATTGTAAATGGTCAAATATACACATTATTCATTCTCATTCAAAAAGTCAAATGGAAGCTGAAATGGTGAGAGAAAAAAAGAAGACAAACAACAGCAACGCAAAAGAAAGCAACGGGAGTCCTTAAGGAGTGATTAATAAATATATACATATATATTCTGTTTAGTAACTGTGGTTATTTTGGTACACAAACTAACTAGTCCCGTTATGCTAACTTTTATATTATGTGTAAACTAATATTATTACTGTCCTGTGTAGAAATGTTTGTCATCTAGTTCCAATAATATTAAAATTTATAATTGTAGTTTGTTGTAACTACACGTTTAAAGAACTTAAAATATCTATGCAGGGTGAAAAAGAAGGTGTAAGAGTCAGGCGCAAAAGTGCATTGTCATCTTTGAGTAGTCTGGTGACTGAGGAGATGAACACTGGAAGTGTGTTTGCATCGCGCACATTAGCTGGTAGTCTATTCCAAATGACTGAAAACTTATTTAAGAAGAAGTTGTACCTCACGTAAGTCTGACAGTGCTCCATAGCAGCTAGGTTGTGATAATTTCTAAGATTGTATCTGATGACAGCGGTAGGTTTAGTTATTGGCTCGGAGGAATGCAAGAGAAGATTAGTTAGCTTATAGTAAAAGATAAGGTTTAGCTTAAGGCGTCTTTTCCAGAGGGGTTCTAATCTTAGTCTTACACATCGCTCATGGCATTCCAGACCACTTTCTAAACCAAGAGTTCTTGAGGTAAACTGCCGTTGTACTCCCTCTAATTTAAGCTTGTCATTTTGTCTTAGTCCACTAAGAATAAACGGGCAGTATTCTAAGATAGGTCGGACACATACTTTGTATAATAAAACCCTAGTTTCACAACAAAAGAAAATGCGTGTTATGCATCCTATCAGCCTTCGCGTTTTACGTCTGGCATAATCAGTCTGTTCAGCGAACGTTAGGTTAATAATAATAATAATAATAATAATAGTATATTCTCATTTTGTACATGAGAGACGCCAGTTTACAGGCATCATCAATATGATAAATTACATATACGATTAGCAATCATAATTAATAATAATGTTTTAATAAAGTACACATTTTTTCCTACTTGTGTAGGACACACCAAATATACAGGCATGGATAAGCATTAATTAAATTTCATAAATTCGGTTTATGGTTAAGTTACATGGTTGCTGGCGTTTTTGTTTTAATAATAATTATAATAATGTATATTCTCATATAAACATATAAATTTACATGAAAATGCATACCATTTTTTAGGTCTGTGGGAACAATATGATAACCAGTCATTCAATGGAGCACATCATGAAATATAGGAATATTGACTTCGCATTAACAAAAAAACCCAAGTAAGTTTTGGATGGATTAAAAATACTTGGGAAAAAATAAAGCTTGAAGTAATTCCACAATATAACAAGTCATTCAATGGAGCACATCATGAAATATAGGAATATTGTCTTCGCATTAACAAAAAAACCCAAGTAAGTTTTGGATGGATTAAAAATACTTGGGAAAAAATAAAGCTTGAAGCAATTCCTCAATATAACTTGGGTGTGTACAAATCCGAATCTCATTTTTGATTTGATTTATATCCAAATTGGGTAATAAGGAAGCTATTTTTACAGATACGATCAGTTATGTTATAAGCTACAATCGTGAAGTTGTATTACAAATTGATACTTTTCCATTGGTATAAGAGTATATTCCACAAATGTAATCCACAAATGTAATCCAGGTTGCGTCGTGGAGAAAGTTAATTCGTTATTAACCAGGCAACTGAAAGATACGGGACCAATAATGTTTGCAGACTATTTGTCATTGTAAATGGTCAAATATACACATTATTCATTCTCATTCAAAAAGTCAAATGGAAGCTGAAATGGTGAGAGAAAAAAGAAGACAAGTTACTAGAGTATCTAATACCGAGATCTACGACTGAGTTGAGCTTAGCTAGTTTTCGCCCATTTATTTCGAGAGTTAGATCAAGGTTACTGTTGCCAATACAAATCCAGCCGCATTTTTCAATGTTAAAATTTAGACAGGAATCAGCACACCATGATGCAAGACAACTTAGTTCAAGATGTATTTTAGCAACCATATCGCTTAATTCATGAGTGTAGCAGGAGTAGACGACTTTGAGGTCATCAGCATATAGGAATGGTTTGCCTAAGGTGAAGCACTTGCAAATGCTGTTAATGTAAACTGTGAATAAAAGTGGACCTAGGACACTACCTTGCACGACCCCACTTGAGATCTGCCTAGGATGAGACAGTACAGATCCAACTCTGGTTATTTGTACCCTGTTGCTTAGAAATGATTTTAACCAGTTCAGTAATGGGTTGCGAATTCCACAAGAGTACAGCTTCTCAAACAGAATACTGTGAGATACCATGTCAAATGCCCTAGATATATCAAAGTAGAGAACAAGGACTAGCTCACGTGCTTCGCGACTACTAGTGATGCAGTTGAAAAAGTCGAAGTGGCAAGTAACGCAGGATCTATTTTTGAGAAATCCGTGTTGAGACCTTGTAACAAGATCTTCCCTAATTAGGTAGTCTGACAATTGATCTTTTACAACTTTCTCCATGATTCGTGAGATAACTGGGGTTATATTTATTGGTCTGTAATTGCGGACGTTTGCCCTATCACCAGATTTGTTATGTGGAATTATGAAGCTAGTTTTCCACTCACCAGGGTAAGTGCCAGTATCCATAGATATTGAGAAGAATTTAAGAAGTAACAATGGTATATCACACCCACTGTTTTTGAAAATTATCGAAGCGAGGCCATCCGGTCCCGTACTAGTGGAAGGTTTAAGGCTTTTAATTGCTTGTACTATTAACTGATTACTGAACACAATGCTTTCAAGGGAAGAGCTAGTAACGGGGGCGGTTTCACCAGGCATATGTGTTTCTAAACTAAAGTTTGCAAACCAATCACTGAAAAGTTCACAGATAGTGGCAGGCTCATTGTAGATTACTTTGTCGTGAAGTAAGTGGGGGATTTCCCTCGCCGACTGCATTCGTTTTTTAAGAAGTGCCGTTAAGTTATAAACTTTGGAGGTACTTTCAAGTGCCGTTAACTCTATATATATGGATACATATCACCTCCCCTTTTGAGAAGATTGATGACTAGTAGGACGTTTTCCTGGGGGATTATCTGGAACCTTTAAGCTTGTTGTTGACGTCTGTCGCTTCGTCTGCCTGTTGGGTTTGCGGCTTCGGCTTCGTCCGGAATTGTCTGACATTTTATGCTTCTTGACTGCATTGCATAGCGAATTTAGTGGGATATCAGCCAGATGCAAACGATCGAACCAATCAAGTCCCAAAAGATTTAAATCACTCTTGGTGACGTAGCAAATTCCTTTGAATTTGGTATTGCGGAAGGAAACAGAATATTTGAGTTCACCAATTAGTTTGAGCTGCCCACCACAGGCGCTGACAGCAGTCTGAGAATTATTTGCGATCGGTGGTCTGCCGATATTATTCAAAAGTTTCTCTGATATAAACAGTAATATCAGAGGCGGTATCTAGCTGCAGACGTTCATCATCAACATCGATTGACCTTGGCGGCCTGTTTGAATATTTTTGGGCTACCACATTCCGTGTACATTTTGCATCTTTTTACGCGTATTTTATTGGTATTTACATTTCACATTATGCATTCTAATCGTATTATCTTCTCCCGGGATTTTATAAAACGTTTTAAACCCAAAAACTTTCATGTTTGCAATAAACTCAAGAAAAAGCACCATGGAGGTTGGCAGCGTGCCTTAAAATCTACATCCATACATCACACCACTGTTCCAGTTATCATTAATGACATGCATTTTCATGTAAATTTATATGTTTATATGAGAATATACATTATTATTAGTACCAACTGCCGGTCCCTGCCTAATAAAATTCTGGATTTTCAGTCTCTGTTGTCTTCTAGTACCTACCACAATACTGGTATTGTCACTCTGCAAGAAACCTGGCTCCATGACTCATACGATGACAATATTGTGTCTCTAAACAATTTCAATGTTTTTCGACAAGACCGTGTTTGTTCCAAGAAAAAGTGTGTTGGAGGTGTTGCGACTTTTATTCACTCAAAATGGTCCATTTCAAACAAAGTTTGTTTCAAATTCTCGAATGACTTCATTGATTGCATCCTTGTGAGATGTTGCCTGAAACACCTGTCAAAATACAAATTCATTTATATTTATAATGTTTATGTCTCTCCTGGCTGTACCATATTGGATTTATCTATGTTCGCCGATGAACTCACCGCTTTTGCTGCAGCTTGCTTCGAGAACTCTTTATCAATAGTAACTGGCGACTTCAATGGAAGCGATTGCTCCTTCCTTATATCACTTGGTCATGACAATATTGTCAACTTTGCCACCCGTCTTGGTAAAAAAACTGGATCTAGTATTCATTAATGATGCTGGCGTATATGAAACTCGCAAACGCGCTCCTCTACTTAATTCTGACCACTGCATCATACGTGTACTGCCTAAAATATATTCCAAATCACACAGAGGTGTCCTTTCTAACCTCTACAGTAAAGTTCAGCGGAGGTGCTACTCAAAAGACAACCTAGACAAGCTCAGATGCATGTTGAAGGACACTAAATGGGACTTATTTACAGAACAAACATTAGATGAAACAATCACAAACACTACCGATTATCTTAAATTCTGTTTCGCAATGTGTCGTCCCAAAGAAACATTATTCATTCGATTTGATCGCTTATCTTCGCCATATCTCAAAAAGCTACGTAGAAATAAAGAACTGTTGTTCAAAACTAATGATAAGCCTGGTGTAAAAAAGTTAAACATGCTGATAAAACTGGAAATAAAAAGACTAAGTGTTTTATATAATCAAAGATTTTTGTCATGTAAAACCCCTTCTAATTTATGGAAACTTTTCAAAGAAATTACTAACGGTAAGCGATGAATTTCTGTTCCATCTCTTAATGTTGACACTCTTAATAAATCTTTCATACGCTCTTCTGTTGATACCCTTCCAAATGATACAAATCATATTGACAATAACTTTAGTGGTTTTAATACCCTTGATGTGCTTAAATGTCTCCGGTCTCTTAGGCCTTCTCAAAGCCTTGGTCCTGACGGCATACCTGCCATTGTCCTCAGGAATTGTGCTGATATTTTGTGTTATCCTCTTACTAACATTTTTAATGCTTCTTTTTCCGGTAACGTTCTACCTTTTGCATGGAAAAACATTAAAATTATCCCTATACCAAAACCATCTTCTGGTTCTGATATTAAATTTCGGCCTATTGCAATTACTTCCCCCTTTTTAAAATTGATGGAAAAATTACTTTTACTTCGTCTTGAACCCGCTTTGAAACCTTTTAATGATCCTAAACAATTTGCATACAAACATGGTAGAAGTACCTTGGATGCTGCGGTTGTCTTATATCACAATGTTGTCTCTTGTTTAGACAAAGGTGCTAAATATGTTCGTAGTGCTTTCTTAGACTACACATCTGCTTTTGACTCTGTACCTAGGGGTCTTTTATTAAATAGGCTATCGTTGACACAAACAGGATCCTGGGCTAAGAGTTGGTTGCATTCCTATTTTTCTGATAGAATGCAGCATACTGTATATAACGGCAAATCTTCTTAATAATAATATATTTCTTCCTGTTTATAATGGAACATACCTATTGTACAGGCATGGATAAGTTATTATATAAATTACACATAATTTGATGTATAATGGACTTACAGTTTGGTTGTTCTTTCTGACATTAGAGTCAGTCGGAACAGTCTGCTATAATGTCTGTTTGTGTAGCACATAAAGAGATATAGAGATATTGTCTTCGCATTAACAAAAAACCCAGACATCACATGAATGTAATACAGATATCTGGAAAAAATAAAGCTTGAAGTCAATTCTCCTATATAACTTTGGTGTGAACAACACCCTTGGCTTAAAGATTATTGATGTATTATGTTGAGATCAGTGATATATTTATTCCATTTTTCAGCTGTCTTATCGTAGTTTCATAACAGGAAAGAAATTTGATCGTGGAGGCGAAAACTAGATGAGGTCATGTGAAGTTGTTTTACTGCATCAAATGGTGCTGAGGTCGATTCCAGAATTTTCCATTTGCGCCATTTGTGTCTGCATGGCGGACTGCATTCGTAAGTTGAGAAAGATGTTGAAAAACCGTTTGAAAACCAGTTGCTTCTTCATTTCAGATCATGAATACTCATTTACAGCATGTTCGCCAGCGTCTTCAAATGGTAGAATTGGATCGTTCATGGAATTTGGGTGGTTATAAGATAGATGGTTTGGAATTAATCCTCATTTCAGTTTAGATGCAGGGTTGTTCGACCTCGACCAGAAGATGAATAGGGGCAGCAAAATACCAGAAAGAGAAAGTATGTGAACATTAAAAGGACATTAATGTATATATATAATTGTTTATGTCAATTGCATAATAAATTATTAAGAAATCATTTTTTAGTTGTAGTCCTATTTACGTATTTATGCGAAGTCTTAGAGTCTATATAGTGTCATGATGTGTATTAATGAGTCTGAGCGTTTTAGTGTTCTAATGACTGATGCGTTTTAGAAGTAAGTAATGAGTTCTGGTTAGGATAGACTTTGGGATAAAACAGTTTATATAGCAGGCGTTTGAAGGTTACAATAAAGTGACACGTCTTTATTCTAAGGGTGAACTAATCCTGTATGTTCCGTACTATGTCTTTATGCATCCATGCTGCTAGTTTATTTATGGTTTTTAGATTGTTAAGGGTGTTGAAGTGCGTTTTTTAGGTGCTGTAGTAGGTTAGTAGTTGATTCGTTTTAGGAGTAAATAGTTTATTGATATAATCAGTAGAGTGAAACAGTCTATGCAGAGAGCGTTTGAAACTTGTAACCGAAGAGCAAGTTCTGATATCTAGGGGTAGGCTATTCCATATTTTAGAATACATGACTGTGAAGAAGTTTTCACGGAGTGTTGACTTAAAAGAATGAGTTGTCACTGTGCAAGTTTGGTTACGCAGATCGTAAGAACCTTCCTGTGCGAATTGTATGTCCCTGTTACCTGAGAAAGATATTTTGTGAAGGACCTTAAAGAAGAATATTAGGTTTATAATAAGTCGCCTTGTCCAAAGTGGGTCAAGTTTTAGGATCATGCACTGTGAGGTGTAGTCTTTCTTACAATCATAGCCAAGTAGTTTTGAGGTAAAATATCGTTGGATACTTTCCATCCTTAGCTTATCACGTGTGCGAGTGCTGCTTATAATAAATGGACAGTATTCTAGTAGTGGTCTGACACATGTTTTGTACAGAATTAGCTTGGCTTCATTGTCGTGAAAGTTCCTGAGTATGCATCCTAAGAGCATCCTCGATTTTCTAGTCTGTGATGCTACTTGCTCAGAGAATGTCAAGTCACTAGAGTACCTCAGGCCTAGGTCAACGACACTTCTTCTACCTCGCTTACAAAATCCAGTGTTCCACAAGGTGCTGTACTCTCTCCTTTTCTTTTTTGTTTCTTCCTACATGACCTACCTCATTCAAAGGAAACTAACTTTGTCAAATATGCAGATGATCTGACTGTATCACTGCCTATCACTTCCGAGTCTGACAGCTCCAAACTTAATAGCTTTCTGTTGGACATCAACAACTGGTCCAAGTCAAATGGTCTTATATTAAATCCTTCCAAATGTCAGGTGCTTGACTTTACTTTCAAGCATCGACGTGACTTACTTGAACTAGTTAACTCTCATGATCCCTGTAGCATAGATGGCACGGAAATTGAAACCAAATCAAGCATTAAATACCTTGGACTAGTTTTTTCCTCTGACCTTTCATGGTCATCCCATATCCTATAATAATAATGATAATATATATTCTCATTTTTTACATGAGGGACGCCAGTTTACAGGCATCATCAATTCGATAATTTACACATAATATTAATAAGCATATTTAGTAAAGATAATATAATAAAGTACATTTTTTCCCCTAGCTATGTAGGGTACACCAATTGTATAGGCATGCATAAATATTGTTTTAGTAATAATAATATATTCCTTCCTGTTTGTAATGGAACATACCTATTGTACAGGCATGGATAAGTTATTATATAAATTACACATAATTTGATGTATAATGGACTTACAGTTTGGTTGTTCTTTCTGACATTAGAGTCAGTCGGAACAGTCTGCTATAATGTCTGTTTGTGTAGCACATAAAGAGATATAGAGATATTGTCTTCGCATTAACAAAAAACCCAGACATCACATGAATGTAATACAGATATCTGGAAAAAATAAAGCTTGAAGTCAATTCTCCTATATAACTTTGTTGTGAACAACACCCTTGGCTTAAAGATTATTGATGTATTATGTTGAGATCAGTGATATATTTATTCCATTTTTCAGCTGTCTTATCGTAGTTTCATAACAGGAAAGAAATTTGATCGTGGAGGCGAAAACTAGATGAGGTCATGTGAAGTTGTTTTACTGCATCAAATGGTGCTGAGGTCGATTCCAGAATTTTCCATTTGCGCCATTTGTGTCTGCATGGCGGACTGCATTCGTAAGTTGAGAA